AGCATCCGCAGCGTTCCAAGGTCACTGCTGGTCAGTGGCCGCCTCATCCTATATTCACAAATAATTATGTGAATATATTCACATAATTATTCAAGATAACGCAACAAGGTTATTTCATTAAATTTGACACTGCCAGATTTATGTCTCTTTTATAAGCTATGAAATTGGGGAACATTCAAAGCCAAGAGAAGAAAGCATTAATTAATAATCATCCAGAACATCTTCCCACTGTCATTCTTAAGCAGCCACTCTCTTTGATGTGCACTGTATAGGCTATCCCCGATGTGGTCTCCAGTAACAAGATAGAATAGTAAGAGAGGCCTTACCCATTCAAAAGTAGCTTACTGTCAAACACAGGTGATACTAAACAGTTCATTGAGAGATCATACTAAGCAGTTTACTAAGATTATAAACTGAAATTTGAAATCAAGTACCAACTTCAATAGCTCACCTCTGGAAACACATGAAATAAAAACACTACTCTTTTGCTGGTAGTTTGCTATAGTATGCTAATACATTCCGAAAAGTAAGTTTTAATTCAATTCCACAACTACAAAAACAAATTACTGTTTAACTGGCAGTCAAGAAAGAACAAAGAACAACACTCACTAACAGTGGTTTCTTGTGATAGTTGAGTCTCTTTGGCATCTCTTTTCCCATGGGGAATAAAACATAATTCCCATGGGGAAAAGTGGGGAAGGAACACTGACATTTTTAAACAAACATGGGATTTGTGCCTTACATATAAAAGAATACATGACTGACTTTTTCTTGGGAACATACAATGCATATTTTCCTCTAATTTTACTGAAAGCCACAAAAAAGAGCTAGAGAACAGTTGTGAGGATACAATATTGCCACATAAACACTGAGTGAGGATGAACTTCTAATAGGTTTTAATCTGCAGTTAAGACTGAGTCCATGATGTAAACTATCTGCAAAATGCTGAGCACATTTTAATGGCTGCCACATCTGCAAAAGAGCATCATGTGTCCCCTTTAAAGCACCAGCTAGAAAGCTCTTAAATATACGGAGTCAAATGATACTGATGATAGTCATATCACTTTGTGTTTTGTTAATTCGGGAGTCTGACTATGATTTTATTTAAATCATAGTATAGTCCTGAGTACCAAGTACCTGGGAAAATTCTATAGCTAAGGGAAAAGAACATGGAGTAATGTTTTCCAGTCCAGATGGATTATGATGTATGGAAGTGATGCCAAATATAATGTAAGATTCTAAATATTTAAAATTGATACAGAGGTGTCACTCTAGAGGAAAAGAGTTCCAGCCAAGATGGAGGCGTAGGTAGAAACCCTTTGCTTCCTTACATAACCAAAAGGAGGATAACAACCAATTTAAAATCAATAAACAACCAGAAGTGCTGGAAAATCAAACTACTTGGAAGTCCAACGACCAAGGAATTTAACAGTCAACCAAACCAACCAGATTGGTAAGACGGGCAGATGGAAAGAACCTGTGGCAAGGTGGCAGACCGCATGGGCGATACGGACTCAAAAATGAGACTCAGAGCTGACTGTGGACTATAGCAGTTGCCATGGTGAGAGAAACTCCCAGTCTCACAGTTGAGAGTTCTTGGAAAGTGGGGCTACAGCCAAGCAGGCAAGCTGGCTCCTTCCCCACAGGCAGCTTGTAGCGCAACAAAGAAGGTTGCCCTGACCTGGTGAATACCTAAGGCCCCTCCCCCTTACAATTTAACAGGTGCCTATAGACAAAGAAATGGGGCCCAAATGAAAGAACAGAACAAAACTCCAGAAAGAAAGCTAAGCAATGAGATCTCCAAGCTATCTGATGGAGGGTTTAAAGCCCTGGTAATCAAAATGTTCACAGAACTGATTGAGCTTGGTTGGAAAATGAAAGAACAAATGAAAGATACTCAAAGTGAAATAAAGCAAAATATTCAAGGAACCAATAGTGACAGCAAGGAAACAGGAGTCAAAGCAATGATTTGGAACAAAACAAAGAAATAAACATCCAACCATAACAGGATGAAAAAACAAGAATTCAAAAAAATGAAGAGAGAGGCTTAGGAACCTCTGGGCAACTTGAAACATTCCAATATCCGAATTATAGGAGTGGCAGAAGGAGAAGAACGACAGCAAGAAATTGAAAACTTACTTGAACAAATAATGAAGGAAAACTTCCCCAACCTGGCAAATGAAATAGACTTCCAGAAAGTCTGGGAAGCCCAGAGTCCCAAAGAAGTTGGACTCAAGGAGGAACACACCAAGGCACATTGTCATTAAGTTACCCAAGATTAAATATACAGAGAGAATCTTAAAAGCAGCAAGAGGAAAGGACAGAGTTACCTAAAACAAAGGAGTGCCCATAAGGCTATCAGCTGATTTCTCAAAAGAAACCTTACAGGCAGGCTGTAAAGAAGTATTCCAAGTCACGAAACACAAGGACCTACATCCAAGAATACTCTATCCAGCAAAGCTATCATTTAGAATGAAAGGGCAGATAAAGTGCTTCTCAGATAAGGTCAAGTTAAAGGAGTTCATCATCACCAAGCCCTTATCATACAAAATATTAAAGGAACTTAGCTAAGAAATTGAATAAGATCAAAAACTATGTACAGTGACATAAAAAAAAACTCACAACTATCAACAAACGAACCTAAAAAAAGAAAAATAATGAAAACAAATACTAAGCAAACAACTAGAACAGGAACAGAATCAGAGAAATGGGCAACACATGGAGCGTTTTCAGTGAGGAGGGGGAGGGGGAGGGGAACAGTAGGTGGGAAAAGGGACAGGGAAGAAGCATAACTGGTAGGCACAAAATACACAGGGAGAGGTAAAAAATGGTACAGGAAACAGAGAACTCAAAGAATATATATGTATAACACATGGACATGAACTAAAGGGAGGTAATGCTGGAAGGTTGGGGGTGCAGGGCGGGAGGGGGGATAAAGGGGGAAAATTGGGAAAACTGTAATAGTATAATCAATAAAATATACTTAAAAATAAAAAAAAAACAAAAGGCTTTCAAAACTATAGCATCCCCAAAAATAAAAAAATAAATAAAATAAAAGTGATACAGAATCTGTCTTCCTACTGTAACTGAGAGAGAAACTAAGCCTGTTTTTGGGGGGGCTTCAAATAATTGTGTTAAAGAACAAAGGGGTAGGCCTGGGATGATATACTATTACCTGAAAGGAACCCCCCAGGTTCATTATGTCCGCCACCAGAGGAAAGACATCTCTCAATGCCAGAAATTCGTGAAAAGGAAAGGAAATGTTTATTTAATGCTATACAGACTTAAAGTAGTGACCTAATGTCCTCATCAAAATCCCAAAGTCCCTTAAAACACTCACAAACACACACAGTCCTTCCTTCCCCCTTTGCCCAGTCTGGGGTACCATATCTCAGGAAAAGAAATAGAAGCCCATGGCTCAGGCAGCCCCCAGTTCTTCCCACTAATCCGTCCTGGCTGGTAGGTCTCCCTCGGTTCCTGGCACCATCAGCTGTGTCATCGGGATCTCTGCTAAAGCCGGGTGGTGGTTCTCCCTTCTAAAGCTGCGGGGGTCCCCACTCCGGCAAAGCCACATGGTTCTCTCTCCACTGGCCCAGCCGTGTGGTCCTCTCTGTACAATGGCTGTGGGCGTCTCCACTCTGCAAAAACTGCGTGGTTCTCCTCCCTCAATGGCTGCAAGGAGGGGGGTCGCTACTCTGCCAAAGCCCAGTGGTGGTTCTCTGCGAAAGCCACCTGGTGATCCTCTCTCACAGGGCTGCAGGAGTCCCCACTCTGCTAAAGACCGAGTGGTTCTCCCTCCACTGCCCCAGCTGCATGGTCCTCTCTGCACAATGGCCACAGGAGTCTCCACTCTGCCAAAGCTGCGTGGTTCTCCCTCCAATGGCTGCCGAGTCTGGGTTTAAAACCCCGAGCCAATCTTCCTCTGCTGCCCCCTTTCCGACTCCTCTCACCATCCGCTACACTTGCTAGCCCTCTCATATTGTACAGAAATGAAACCATGTCTAATAATTCAATGGTTAAGTATGGGCCACTTGTCCTTCTCAAGAACTTAAAAACAAAAATAAAAAACATCCCCCCCCCCAAAAAAAACACAACTCTCTAGGTATCGGCAGAGGATCTTTTACTTTCAACAGGAAAAAAATAAAAACTGCCTCTCTAAACCTAAACAGCTGAATCATTCACATATTCAACTGCCCATAATGCTTCCAAGATCTGTCATCGCAGGCTTTACTTTTTGGAAAGTCCGAATTTAAGACCTTCACTGTCACAGCATGGAAGAATTACAGGAAATTAAAATTATTCCCAAAAGACGCTGACATAAACAGGAGCTGCGTTATTCTTGATCAAACAGGAGGTCCTGACTACTACATCAATTTCTGGTGAAAGAAAGCTACTATGCTGAGAAAATGCCTAACGGATACTTATTAAATATCTACTTGGGCAAGGCAAATGCGCACTTTCACGCTGGGATGGCGGCTCTGCGAAACATCCATTTCTCCGCAGGGCGCAGAGCCCAGGCAGAAATTCCCCAAAAGCGTGAGTCAAAGGGGTCCCAGGACCCGCCCCTCAGGCTTCCCCTGGCAGCCAAACGCCGACCAGGCACAGGCCTCCTTAGCTACGCGGTTCAACTGCGGTGAAATGAACAAATCCGTCTAGCTACTGAGGTTAGGTCCAACACACACCCTGTGCTGCAGCAGACCCTTGAGGCCATGGGACTCCCGCACCAACGCAGGGATGGCACAGAGAGGTAAGGGATACGGAGAGAACCGAGGCTGGGGGTGTAGGAGGGTGGCGACAGGTGGAGGGGTTCTGCAGGCCCTACAGAATCTCTGGAGAGTGCGTTGGAGCTGGGGGCCCCAGTGGCTTTCTACCGGTTTTAAGATCGCGGTGTGGGGAGGTCAGGGGCCCTAAACGCTTTCTAGAGGGTGCAAAGGAGGCAGCCGCCGAGAATAGGACCCATAATGGGGATTCCGTCAGGGGACGTGCGGGCTGACGCTCACCCAAACAGCCCTCGGAGGAAAGAGTGGGAGGCTTTAACTCGCTTCTCCGCCTCCGCCATCAACTGGACTGCCTCACGCTCCTTCCCTGCGTTGTCCATGTTGCTACACACCGCCGCCACAGCTTCCAGAACCAGCTGCCACACACCTTCCGAGCCTTCTTTCTTTCCCAGGACCTACAGAGAGCGCAGGCGTGGTGTGAAAAGCCTACCGGAATTTGTAGTTCCAGACCTACTCTGGAGCGGAGCTCAGGCGCAGCGCGCACATTTTGACGGGATGTGTAGTCTCAGGCCCTGCTCCGGCGGTGGGGGCAGTACCAGAAATCATACACAGTTACTAGCAGGATGCAGAGCCTGGCCCGGTGGGATCCTGTTGACGTGCAGCGCCCGAGGCGGCGGTGGGTCCCTGAGTAGACAAAAATTTTAATCCTTTAAATATGAGGGAAATGGAAAATGACTCCTGGCTTTCAGAAAAGATGACTTGAAACACTCAGTTTTACTTCGGTCTAGGAATTCCTGCTCAGCAAGACTGACACGTGGCAATGGGATTGATGAAGAAACGGGATGAAGAAGGAATGCTGAACGTACTGGAGAGTTCCGCAAAAGGAATTTAATGCAGCCACAGAAAATAACTTCATTAACTACGTGATACTGCTCTAGCTAGTGTGGCTCAGTGATTTGAGTTCTGGCCTGCAAATCAAAGGGTTGCCGGTTAGATTTCCAGTCAGGATGTATGCCTGGGTTGTGGACCACGTCCCTAGTGGGGGGCCTATGAGAGACAACCACACATTGATGTTTATTTCCTTTCCCCCTCTCTCTAAAAATAAATAAATAAAAATTTAAAAACTCACTCGCCCACCCACCAGCAGCAGCTGTCAGAAAGATCCATTTTTATCTCCAGAGCAAGACAATTGAAATAGTATCATGCCCCCCAATATAAATTAAGAGGTTTTTTTCAGCCTCCCCATATTGCAACCTCTGTTGGTCCTCTCTTCCTTGGTTGTAATTGAGTTGTATATATGCAATATATGTATAATCCACTCTTTTTATTGACTGAATCCTTTTCAGTGGCTGTGACTCACTGAGCTCTCTTATTTCTTTACATAATCTTGTTCATAGGTGGGGCACAATATCTGTCTAACAGAAAGTATTCTAATCTCCAAGGAGAAGTATCCATATAGATGCTATCAGCTACCAAAGATTTACAGGACTGTCCCAGGGAGAGTTATTTTTAATACACGGTCTAGTTAGACCATTTACATTTGGCAATGCTAGAATAGAGATGGTAAAACAAATTTAAAGATGACTGCCAAATGTGACAATTTCAAACTATTAAGTACACTGTGGGCACTGCCACACAAAATATATATAAGAAAATGTAGCCTGCTTTAGAGAGCAAGGCAAGAAGGCCAAAACTCCTAGAAACATAGATAACTAAAGCAAATTTCACAGAGTTTATGCATTTCAGGATTCTAGAGACAGAAGAAAATCTGATCTTCGGGCAGAGTTTATTTACTATTACCATGTGTGTTACCATAGATAGTTAGCTAATCATTAATAAGAAAGGAAGGAAAGGAAATTGGACCTTGTTGAGCATAATCAACAGGGAGCATAAACCTGTTTGCTTCATCAGGAATCTACAACTTCATACCCCAAGGGATCATAGCATTGCCCCTCTAAAGATTAACATCCCTCCCTTCCCCCTCTAGTACCATTGTTGGGAGGAGCAAGGGTAGGTAAGTACATGGGCAATAGTAGTCAAAATAGTGGAGGAGGAGGTGCTTGACCACAGAGGCCTGTCAGTCTAACCTGGAAAAGAGATCATTGACTAGTTGGTGGACCCATCAGAAGTCCACAAAAGCTTGGAAGTTGATCAGTTATTTTGAAAAAGACTCCTGGTCGTTTGCAAGCCAAAAGGATAGAACTCCAGGGGAATAAGGAAGAGCTTTCTTTGCTCAGTGACCCAGAATCACTCTATTCATTGATGGGTTCTTTGTCTCACCCAGGAACATATGCAACTGTTACACGGTGCAGCCAAGAGCAGGGCCACAAACAGGGATTTGGAATGGGGTCCAGAACTCAAGGTGTTCAGGAAATATTAGGATGTTCTCATCCTTACTCCCACCGGTGTGGGTTGGGAGAAAGGACACATAAAGCAGGGCCATTGAGAGCTGTTTTGCTTAGCAACAACCTGGCAGCTAACCTCTAGTGTGGTCATTTAACATATCTATAATCTTTAACTGGTTACATAAATATGTTAAATTGCTGTGGCCATGCTCTGAGCCAGGGGGATGGAAGTAACTTCCCCACCAAGACTTAACTGGGGGGCAGGTCCCCTGAGTCACAGCACCTGTGTGAGAGCTTGGAGAAGATTGGCTCCATGACATGGGGCCAAGCCTGCCCTGACTCACGATGGCAGCCCAGTAAAGCTGGAAGGATAGGAGAGTGCTGGCAAGTGTAGCCAATTGTGGGAGGAGTCAGAAATGGGGCTGCAGAGGAAGATTGGTGTGGGGATTTAAACCAAGACACAGCAGCCATAGAAGGGAGAACCACGCAGCTTTGCCAGAGTGGGGACCACCGCAGCTTTAGAACGGGGAACCGCCACCCGGCTTTAGCAGAGATCCCAATGACACAGCTGATGGTGCTAAGAACCAAGGGAGGCCTACCAGCCGGGATGGATTAGTTGGAAGAACCGGGGCCTCCCTGAGCCATAGACTTTTATTTCTTTTCCTGAGATACAGTACCCCAGACTGGACAAAGGGGGAAGGACTGTGTGTGTTTGTGAGTGTTTTAAGGGACTTTGGGATTTTGATGAGGACATTAGGTCACTACTTTAAGTCTGTATAGCATTAAATAAACATTTCCTTTCCTTTTCACGAATCTCTGGCATTGAGAGACGTCTTTCCTCTGGTGGCAGACATAATGAACCTGGGGAGTTCCTTTGGGTAATAATATATTGCCTTTTGACCCTCCCCCTTTTTGTTCTGTAACACAACCATGTGGGGCTGCAGCAACCTGTGTGGGCTCCAAATAACTAAGCTTAGTTCTTTGGAACAAACTCTGAACACTGGCCTTTGTTTGGCCTTGCTAAAGACACAATTGGACTTTTTCCATGGTGGAATGGAAGGAGATGGGAAATTAGAAAGCCAGGGGCAACCTTCCCAACTAAACCTTGCTACACCACAACTTCCTCGGCATGGATTCTTGGAATATTTTCCTCATATTCTGTGGGAGAACCTGACTTCCACTGGCAACAAATGCATTATTTTAACTCATGTACTTTTGGTGCAGGAAACTGGAGGCAGCAGTAAAGGCAGGAGTACAGAGGAAAACAAAAAAGAACAAAAATAAACAACAACAAAAAACTCTGAACATAACTATTTGAAAAGCAGAACAGTCTATGGGGATTTAATGGAGCAGGGCCAACTCAAAACCTCTGAAATGCAGCATCAATATGATAATTAAAGCAGTTCCCAAACCTGGCTCAATGTGGAAACCATAAAGCCTATTCAAGAAATGCCAATTCCTAATTCACTAGCATTTTATATCATGATCTCCTACAGTCAAGGTCCAGGAATTGTACATTTTAAAAAGCATTCTCCACGACTATTCTCAAGCTTAAAATTTTAAATTCTCAAATAGAGTCAACAGGGAGGGAGGCGGAATGAACTGCTTCCTCTAAATTAAAACTTGCAATGTAAAAGTTTCAGGGGTATATGGTGAGATTTTTTTATGTTTCTGGGTATGTCCTTCATTTTTTTTTTCTCACAGGAAATCTGCAGGCACTCCCAGTCTCCCCATCCACATCCAAGTGGGAGAAAGAATTTCAAACCTTAACATGTAAAGTGAGTGTTTTACTTTCCCAAGAGGTTAGGTGAGCGGAGGTGACAGGAGAGAGACAAACCTGATAGAGTGAGGACTGACTAAAAAGGCAGATGAGGAATCCTCAAAGGAGCAGTGAAAGAGACCTGCTCTGGTGTGAACTAGGGAGGAAGTGAAATCCTCAAGTGGAAGTAGAAGCTGTCCTGTAGTAGATCCAAAGGACTCATTGCCTATACCTGTTCTGATTAGGATGAAGGTCACTTACCACAGGAGGCCATCTAAATTTAAATAAAAATATGAAACAAAGTGTGAAATTTTATTCTTCAGCCATACTATCCACATTTCAACTGCTCAATAACCCACATGTAACTAGTGGCTGTCATGTTGGACTGCACAGATACAGAACATTTCTACCATTGCAAAAGGGTCTAGTGGACAATGCTGGCCTATATGTAACAGGTATGCAACAAGGTCCAGAACTTGAGGTACAGGCTGAGAAGCCCCAAAACCCCCAATAACATGACAGGAGAAAGGCGAAGCAGAGCAGGGCCATTGGGAGTTACTTTATCTAAAGAACTTGGCCAGTGTTTTAGTAAAAGCACTCTAGTAGTGCTTTCTGTCTCAGGAGTCAGGGAGATGGGCTTGATTCTAACCCATAATGCAGCCTGGAGGCAGTCCCTGGTTACTGTGCCTGCTCAAGGGGCTCAGAGCAGGTTCCTACCTCATGTGCCGAGCCTTCCCAAACTAACAATGGCAGCCAAGAAAGGCAGAAGAAACAAGAGTTCTGGCCAGTGTAACCCTTTGTGGGAGGAGTTGGAAATGGGTTTACTAGGAAGATCTACACCAGGTTTTAAACTCAAGATGGGGCGGCCATGAAGTCTTGGCCACAGGGTTTGAAAGGATGCATAAGGACCCCCACCAGCCCATGGTTTTGGATTAAGAGCAGGAGCTTAGCTGAACATGGATGACTGGAGGAAGCTGGAAGGTTAAAATGGGAATCTGCCTGTCTAAGCTACAGACTTCTGTTTCTTTTCTTGAGAAACAATACCTGCGACTGGCCTGGTAGGCAAGAACAGACAGGACTGTGTATGTTTGTGGATGTTTCTTTTGTTTTTAAGGGACTGAAATTTAATGGAAAAATTATGCCATTATTTTAATCCTGTATAACTTTTGAATAACTAATTCCCTTCCTTTTCATAAGACTCTGGCAATGAGAGTCACATTTTTTTTCACGGGTTTCTGTCACATATACACCTTTGCTTTTCAGCAGCCCTGGTCATTTGTGCCCTCCCCCCGCAAAAAAGGAAAAAGGATCCAGATATTTTAGAGGTAATGGGCTAGGAAAGGAAGAGCCTGTATC